TGCAACAGTACAATCGAACTCTAAAACTGCGAGTAAGGCCTTAAGTCACTTCGCCAAAGACAGCCGTAAAGTCCCCTCAAATTTCTTGTGTTTTAGTTTAAAAAGGTAGGCGGCGTTTATCGGTTAACAGTAATCGGAAAATCGATTAACAATATCTCGTACAATAAACGTCATGTATGCCTTACCACATAAAGTAGTCACATTCGGGGTTGTACCTAAGATGTTTGAATGACTAGATATTTCTAATTCAAAATTGTCTAAATTTGACAATACAGCTAAATTTGTACATATTGACAAGATTAAGTATAACATAAGAAATAAATAATACCACACGTATTCATATATACCCTATCTTCTCTCCTCCCTCCTCTCTCTCTCTCTCTCTCTCTTTGTCTTGTGTGTGCGCGCTCGCACGCGCTCACACACACACACACACACACAAAATAGATATTAAATAAATATTAACTATTATATAATTATCCATAATAAAAGATGTTAAATAGACATTAAATAACAAAGACACATATAAAACATGATGTTAATGAAACATATATTTGATTAATATCATATTTTGTATGTGTCTCCGTATATATATATACGATATTATTTTAATTAAACGTAAATAAAGTTTAGGTTTATATATAAATGCATCTACACAGATCCCGCATGTGTATAATTTTATGATACGGCATACATGATGAATGTATCAGAGCATATATTAAAAAATATTTAAATCTGTGTACATACGTGTAGTTGTGCGTGTGTGTGTGTTTTGTGTGTGTGTGTGTGTGGATATCGGCAATCCTTACGCGAAGTCATTGCGATGTCGAGTATTAAATGGTACGCACGGTTTAGACACCGTGTCATGTCGATTGTCGTTCTTCCTCTTGTTCAACGAGCAATGGAACAATCGACGACAGTTGATCCGCATTGTTGTTCTCGTTTTCATCTTGCTCGTAAAGCAACGGCACCGCCTGCTGGTTGTTGTTGTCGGCCTCCGAAGGCCTCCTGCTCTGTCCCGGCAAGAAGGACATTGGTATCGTGCCGGAGGGCGTTGTTGGCGCGGAGCGCGACAGCCATCGCTTCGTTTTGCTTCGCGAATTCGGCAGCCCCAATGGCATGTACAGCTTGCCCCTGGTCTTTCTGATTTTGTACGAACCGACGTCGCTGGGACTTAAAGGCCGTTGTTGAGTAGTACCATCGCTACTTGTTACGTACAAAATCGGGGCTTGATTCTGTTGGCAATGCATGGTGGTGGAATGTCCGTTGGACAAATGAGGAAGTTGTTGTATCTTATCCAATAATTCCCGCAACTGGAAATGAATGAACGTAAGAGTTAACATCGTGAAATTAATAGTTCATATATAAGTATTTAAGTATATAAACAACAATTTGATTTAACATTGTGATTTCAACTCTTTAAAGTGTAATTAGAAGCATACTTCTATCGTCGGACTAGTAGCCCTCGGCGGTGAACAAGGCGATTGAGCACCAAGGCTTGATATGTCAGAAGTTGTTCTGTGATTTGTCAAGGAGACGATAGAGCCGATGTCGCCCGTCTCTCTTCTCTCACAGTCCATCGCCGACAGTTCGTCGACGCTGTTGTTACAGGAGTACGGTGGTGGAATAATGGTGTTCGCTTCGTTCACCATATTGCACATGAAACTGGAGCTCAGCGAATCCAATGTACTAGCGTGTGACAACGATCTGAAGTAGCGCATCACAAAACCAGATGTGCCTTTGCCCGAACTATCGTCGTAACCAATTACTAGGGGGTAGAGATCTGGTTTTGCAGTCACCTGAGCATAGATTGCAGAACAAAAGTAGATTTCGAATTTATATAAAGAACACAATGTATATATCTCCGCGACAAAATATATTTTTATACTAGTAAAATTTCTGAATCTCTTTGATAACGACAAATAAATCTTTCTTTTCAATTTGGTGTAAGGCCAATATTACATTCGTCGTACGACAAATTTTCCAAGCGTGTCGATTGGCTGCAGGATAGAAAAGTTCTCGAGTATTTAAAAATTTTCTATCTTGTAGCCAATCAACGCACGTTTGAAAAACTTGTACGACAAATGTAATAGTACGCTAAATTTTGCGTTAACAAAAATACCAAAATTCCAGTAATTTTCAAATTATAAGCAATCGAAACAAAAAAGTTGTTCGCAGATACATATTTCATATAGACGTAAAACTAACAAACATAACATATATATTTTGTACATGTAATTATATCCTATACATTTACGTGAAAAAATGTTTTACTGGAAAATTCTTTAAATTGATAATTTTTTTTAAATACCTCGTTGTACGGTGGTGGTAATGCCTGGACGAAGGAACTACATCGGCTATAATGAGGTGGTGGATACCACGGTCCTGTGGAAGTCCCCGTGGAGGACGTGCTATCGTCTGACAATGCTGAACGGCGGCGCTTCCACAACCAAAAGCCGCATGTTGCGGCTATAGCTAAGGCCGCGAGTACCGCTACCCTGTAAATAAAATACGTAACTGCTACCCGATCCATATAAATAATATGTGTCCAGCATACAAGACCACTATACATAAAATGGAATTATGTTCGCGGGAAGAAAAATGTAGCCGCCGTAGCTAAAAACTGTATGTGGCAACTGAATTTCATTTGTAAAATATGAACGGCTAATATTTAGTTGTAACAGCCAAATATTTTGCTGCGGTGTCTATATTTTATTAGGCGCGACGGCAAATCGTTTGCTGCGGTTTAGAAATTTATAGTTATGGCAGGAAAATATTTTTAGCAAATCACGATTAGCTACGGTGTTCATTTCAGTGTTTGACCAACGCAGTGCGTCTATATGAGTGAAAAGGACAAGAAACTTGTTTCCTTTTTCCTCTATGTCGCCATTCAATAACACAGATGATCGAAAAGATATACCAACCAGAAATACCAGTAGGTCCATATCAAGATATTGAACATTTCTGAAACTTGAGGATGCATTGGTGTCAATAAAAGACTGTAACAACAGCCGAAGTTACAGCACTCCTTTGGAGGAGAACAGCTAAAACAGCGACAGATTTGTCTTTTTATTTACAGTTTACCTTACTTCTCGGTGTACTCAAATATATGACATAATAAGATACTTACGCATGTCCTCCCTTACATATCCTAGAGGACACCTTAAAGCAACAGTACAAGATATTATTATAATTATATATTATATTATTACTTTAATAATAAATGTGAATAAAAAAATTACAGTAACCATCCAATGTATACAACTGAGACGGGCTTTCTCTTTCTCTCTCCCTTTCCTTTCTCTCTCTCCGCTGTCTATTAATTATATTCAATAAGCCCTTTAAAAGAAATCACTTGTTTTATTTCTAATAAATTATAGTAAGACATGACTGTCGATAACAATCAAGTAAATAGAAAATGTGCCAATTTACGCAAAAGCCAGGGGCGAAATATACACGGAAAATATTAGGCGCAAAAGGTCCAGTCTGGTGGTTTCAATTCTGTATCTTACAATGTAGCGAAAATGTAGCTGAAAGTGAGCGACTTTGTCTCTTTTTAAGGGGACGGTCGGAAAGAGTTGATTCACTTTTAACTATTCATTTTCACTATAGTGTAAGATACAGAATTGACCCCCTAACTTTGGCTGAGCATACAGCACCAAAGCTTTCAGAAACATTTCAGAAAACATTATTGCAATGTTACAATGTTTCTGAAAGCTTCGGTGCTGTATGGGATATTTTCTCTCTGTTTACTTGATTATTTTTTATGTGCAACACAGTATCAAACGATATTTCAATCCAAGGGAGTGATTCTGCTTTAGAATACAAAAAAAAAAACAGGAATAATTCCAATATCAATAATGAATATTTTTATCAATTTATATACGTTCTATTAAAAAAAGTACATAAGAACAATTTATAGTTTCTCTCTTTAGCACAACACAATAAGACGAAAAAAAAAATTAACATTTCAGTCGTTCTCAAGCGCACCGTCTCCCTTAATTTTTCAACTTGCATCGGCATTTTACCCGCAATATGTTGTCTCGATTGAAAGTTGTGGTTTACACAACGCGACGAGCTTACGGAACGCGCATGTGTTTACGCAAATGACTCGAGGGACGGATGTTTATTAAGAAAAAAAGAGTTATTTTTTTCACTTGTCGCGACATTTGTTAAAATCGAAAAACCTTCCGTTTGCGAAATAAAAACCGCGCTCGAGAAATGGGAATCGCCGAGCATTAATGGGTTAAAAGGAGCATGGAAGAGACTTACGCATGAATGGCAAATACGGCGACGGGCGCGTATTGATCGGGAGCGCGGCGGAGGAGCCGGACAAGGGTTGTACGGACGAGAGGGTGCGGATGAAACGGCAATGTGAACGTGTCTCTCTCTCTCTTTCTCTTTTCTCCCCGTCGTTCTTTCTCGCGTGGAACGCGATTACGGCGTTTACCATCCGCGGATGGAAGCGACGATATACAACCTGACGTAGCTAGTGTGTGGCGCGTCTCGCGCCTGTCGCCGTTCTTACTTGATCGACGAGCAACAGCAACGCGAGCGTCAGAGTGGCCGCCACGAACGGTGCGTCGAGTATCCGACCCCTCGCGGCTCGCACCATAATTCTAATCGCCGGACGTCCACTGTGCAGACGTCGAACGTGCACGTCGCCGCGCGCGCGATTTTGCGACAGCCACGCACACTGTCCTCTCCCCAATCCTCCCCCGACGGGGCGCTCGTCGCGTGCTCTCGCCACCCTCGTATCGCGCAGGGACCCCCCCTCCTCCCATACGGCGCAGGAATGCTGCAGCAACGTTGCAGAAATGTTTCCTTGCAAGATTGCGACATTGCAGGAATGTCAAATGTTGCTGGCAGGATTGCGGCAACGGTAAAATGTCCGCCTGCAGAAATATTACAGCAACATAGCAATATGATATAATATGTATGGGCAATAATATTATATACTTTGTGTATATTCACGTTAATATAAAGAAAAAAAATTTATGAAAAATTCAGGATTTTAAAGATCGTAAGGAGCTGACAACCTTTTCGCGGCCGTGTATGAAAATACCGTGAAGTCGCGGCCACCCCGTCCAGGTTTTAGCCGCACTCAATGCCGCTTAATCTCCGCGGTACTTTCAGCAAAATATTTCCATCAAGGTCGAGTTCGACCCTTTCAGCATCCAATTGTGCCTATCAAACGTGGTGCGGACATGTGTAGCCTACTAACACATTTTAAGCGCAAAACATATATAGATGGCAGCACCGCTGCGGGCAAAAACTCCAATGTCAAGGTCATCCATTCCAAGAGGCAGCAGCCCCCCCCCCCCCGTCGATGTTTTGACACGAATGGATTGTGGCATAGAAAGTGACAACGTGACTCGCGTGATTGTTCCTTGCCTGGCCTAGTTAAGTCTAATCTACAATGTGCCTTCTGCGCCTAGGAACATTCTATTTTATATAAACAGATGAAAACGCTCAACAAATTTGTCAACAATGTACGATTATACAATGTATAATATAAAATTTATCAACTTGCATGAATTTTGTAAACGTATACATTAGCTACAAAATAGAATGTTTCTAGACGCAGAGAGCACATTGTAGATTAGGCTTTATGGTCGATTCTGGCGATCGTGGCGAAAGGCAGAGTCATTGGGCGTCTGGAAGGTGGTCAGGCATCGCGGATCCTAAATGTCCCGATGAGCATCATATATCCGAGAGCTGTGGCTCTCCTGGGCAACGCTTTGAAAGTGGACGTTCTAAAAAAAGTCAATACGCCCCGGCAGAAAATAATTCAAAAGAGTAAATGCAGCATCTCCATATTTAAAAATATACGATAGATCCACCACATATTTTCCGATAGAATATTCGCTCTTATTTTTATACTCGTATATATTTACCCTATTTCAAATACATATCTTTCCAGTTTTAGATGCCGGCGAATATTATTTTTCTTCCTCCGTAGCAGAAATGTCCATCCACGATCTGCGCCAAGACCTGCCCTCAAAATCGAATTCTTGTGGTCTTGTAAAATTAGCAACCTGTTAAATCGGTTTTTCTTAACTTTCTTTCGTTACTACTATTTATTAATATCATTTCGCATTCTTTATAGACAATTGAGTTCGACGTGATCGTTTTTCATTCTTTCTCTGCGTGCGCACAGTTATCGAATTAAATATGTGTGATACAACAAAATTTATTATAACATTTTAGTTCTTATTAATAATTTATATTATAAATTCGTGTATAAAATACTCAAAGGGCAGAAAAAGACTTAGGCCCGTACACCGAACCCTAATTTATCAATAAAGGCGCCTCTAACAGTGGCTTGTAGCCAATCAGGTTTATTAGCCACTTTGAGAGACGCTTTTATCGATAAAAGAGGTTTGAAAATACAGGCCTTAATCATCTTCAAATGACTGATTTTAAACCTTGAACCTTAGGATGTCACGACTTCACAGAATAAATTCTTGTCCATTTTTTTACTTTTGTACAATCAGAAAGCAAACATTGAGATAAATAAAATAATATAGAAACTTATGAAAATATAATGGATGGAATTTTATTTAAAGGCTTTATTTCCGTATTTTTTTATTCAATCATCATATAATAGAAAGGTGTTTACACTGTTAGCTATTAGCTCTCAACAAAATTTGTAGATATTTCCATTCAATGTATATTCTTCTGAGATCACTATAATATATAACGATTCCATAGACATGTAAGCTGCCTTTACATTATGATTTTACATACATTTCTGTTCCGAAGAATTACTTACTTTTGAACTAATTTTAAGCAATTAATCGAACTATTAGAATAAATAAAAGATTCGGTTAATTTTTATTACGAGTATTTATATCTTTATTTATTAAATAATTTAATAGTTTACCAATCAATTATTAATAAATTATTGAACATAGAATTTATAAATAACTTTTAATGTTTAACTTATAATAAATGTATATTAAATACTATAATTAAATTTAGTAAATTTCTTAGTTTTTTATACAAATAATTAAACATAAATTATGCCTTAAATATTACATTTTCTATATGTATACCAAAAATACATATTTAAAAAAATGCTATCATGAAAAAGAATAAAACTATTTCTTAAATGCCTTCGTAATTTTCTATAATAAATTTATATTTTACATAATTAAGTCTAAAAATTAGTTCAAAACTAAGAATATCAAAGGTTTTGTTTCTCAAGTTCATAAAATTGAAAATCTGTAAGACATTCAATTCAAATTGGTTTGAAATAGTTGCAAAAGTATTTTTTCTTTGTCGCACACGTCAATTCTTGCAAATCGATTTTCGATCTTATCTGTTTTATATACACTGTAAAAATGTGATATAAAATAATATGAATAACAATAAAATTTATACGTATATACGTATTATACGTATGAATTTTACACTTCATATACTTTGTAGTATTTTTTTCAGTGTATATCGATAATATAAAACTATTAGAATTAATAATGAATACTATTACGTAATGTAAAAAAAAGAATATTGATACAAGTGCTGTTTCTCGTTTTCACACGATTTTTAATTCAGTTTGTTTTGCGAAAAAAAATTAAAATGTTAAAGAGCAACACTAGACAAATATAGGAAATATACCAAGAATGCAAAATAAGGTCTCAAAATATAATAAGACACTGTTTAAAATACCTTTGTCAATTTTTTATCCTACATACACATTGTAAAGCAATTAAAATATGTGTATATATATATGTTTTTAGACAGTTTTTCAAATTTGGAATAAATCCAATATGGAAATATCTTTACAATAGAAACTGTTTTCCTTGAAGAGATAATAAAGAAAACAGTTTATTTTTAGTGAAGTCAAATTTCTTATAAACGCATCTACATTACACATTTACATTATGTGTGCGTGTGTTATATATTTAAATAAACTTTAACTACCTAAAAAAAGAAAGGAAAATTAAAAAAGGACAGACTTCTCCAAATTATTACACAATATGGTCGAATTAAATAAAGACCTATAAAACGAAAATATTCTATTGAAACGCAGCTCTTACATATCGATGCATCTTTTTGTCGAAACAAATTATCGTATCTCTTTTTTTACAAACGCATGTACAATGTTCGCATACATAACTAGCATTCATACATGTGTGAAAAGATATTCAAAAATTATTTATACTATAACACACTATAATAGTATCAAATATTTAACGATTTAGTGAGCGCAAATTTCAATTTAAATTTGAACGGTCTAAATGGAATAAATTATTTAAATTTAGTAATGTGTAAATATTGATTTAATATAATGTGTGTATACATGTATATATATACATATATATATTCCTTTTCTTACTGCTTTATTTTTAAAAATATAGTTCTTACAGTTCTCTTAAATAAAATTTATACTTTTAAGATATTCTGAGCCAGCCTAGAAGTACATGGAATATCTCAGTTTCTGATTTCGGTGTTTTAGTCCCAATAGCAATTTCAATGAAAATCATCGCAAATATGTACACGATCAACAAAAAAATTCGTTTCTTATTGGATAATGTCGAGGAGTCACCGCACAGGACATTCCTGTTATTAATCAGTTTGCCTGTCTCGTATTATAAACAATAGACAAAACGAATTTGGACCGTGTTGGCAGAATTATATCCTTTCAATTAAATCAACTATAAGCGTGATTATCATACGAATTGTTAATTATCAATTCGAAATTTTAAACCAAAAAGATGAAGGCTCATTAGATTACTTCTTCGAGGCTTTTCAACTTAGAGATAAAGATTCAAATGAAATTAAAGTAATTATACGACCTAACCAGGCTTAATATCCAGAACATATGAGTTTGGTTGGGCTGAACATTGCATTCAATAGATTTACAGTTACATGAATTTGAAACAGTAATTAAATTTAAACATGTGTTAATCAATTAATTTTAGTTGGCACAGTTATAATCACCGAATGTTGTATTAACCAGTGATTTAAAGTTAGTATTTTCAAAATTTTTTCAACAGATGCATTATTATAAATTTTTTGACTTTACAAACTCGATCTCGGTGATGTTTACTTTATCTTATAAAAGACATTTGAAATAGGAAATTGTCATCGCTCGGGGGACAGCATCCGCTTTAGGAAGGCATTGATCTAGGCAATCGATCGTGCTATATATAATGTTAACGATAGCCTCGCATTATTTTAAAAACGAGATCAAAGACTAATTGCATAAATCATATTTTATATTGTAAAAATAAAATTAAAAGCTTATAACCCACATAACTGTACTGACTAACTACAAATGCAATTCAGTAGTTTCCCTTTTCTCACTTTTCTTCCCCTTTTTTATCTTTCTTTTTTACATTTATTCGTTCAATTGCTCACTCACTTATTCATCATTCATTGTACCTATCTACTTATTTGTATTAGTATTTGTGTTAGTTTATAAACTAGACCATAATGCGCGAAAAAATATAAGTAGTAGAGTTAAGTGATAAATCGTCCAGTCTCAAGAATTTTCGACTATGATTCTACTTAAGTTCCATGATTTATATTCTTCTTTTCACGTGTTATGGTCTTCATAAGAATTTAGCAAAATTCGTGATTCATTATCGACGCATTCAAGAAAAGACACATATCGCGCATCGTTCCACAAAAAGTCAGAGTAATAAATAAACGATATAAAAAAAGAAAAGAGAAATGCTAATGTAACATTACTCTACGTCGCGGCGTATTCTCCAACGAGTCAGCACCTACTTCGTGTGAACAGGTACAGCCGATGGTAATCGTTGGCGAACGCACAGTTACACTTGGGACATTTCTGCTGCCGCATTGCGTAACGTGCGTGGAGTGTTCCAGCAGAACATTACGTCGCGGCGTATTTTCCAACGAGTCAGCACCTTCTTCTTCATGTGGACAGGTACAGCCGATGGTAGTCGTTGGCGCCGAACGCGCAGTTACACTTTGGACATTTCCGCTGCCGCGTTTCGTAACGTGTGCGCAGACAGTCCCAGCAGAACACGTGGAAGCACTTGGTGAGGACGGCGTCCTTGCGCTTTACCTTACAAGACGGACAAGTTAGAGTTTCCTTATATTCCCGCAACTCCTCCGCCATCACTTCATCCAGAGTTTCAGCGAGCTCGATCTTCTTCATGCGCTCAACCTTGCGTCTGAGTTGCGCTATCTCCTCCTACAACGCAATTCACAAATTAGAATTTACTTCTCAATGACTGAATATTAATGGTATTCAAAAAAAGTATATAAAAGGTTGAAAACATAAAAAGTACCATAGTTGACATAGAATTAAATCGTTATACCTGCAATCTTTTAGTTTTATACGCTTCAGCTTCCAAGGAACTTGTTTTCTCAGCTACAACCTGTTGTGCTTCCTTCATTTGGGAATGATACTTCTCTGTAATAATAAAAGCTATGTCAATTCTTTGTTGGAAGCGATCGTATAGTTTTTACCATTTATTTTCACTCATTTTTCTAGCTAATATAACAATAATTAAAAATATAAAGGTGTTGTAAACGCTTAGAATATATTATTTATACGATTAAGAAAACTTTATTTAGGAAATTATATGATTTATATGAGAGAGATATAGGATCAAAGATTTAATATAAAAATTTTTATTGTAACTTTTTCGCGTTTGTGTCTTACCAAGATGAAGTTTGAGATCAGCCGCAGACTGCGCGCTTTCGATTGCTTTCCGCTTGTGCATCTCCATTGCCTGCTGTCTCAGCGCCAATTCCTTTTCCACCGTGGCAAGAGAGTTTTGTAAGAGACGTTCCTTCTCTTCTAATTTCCGTACAACTACATTAGCCGCTTCCACCTGCGTAGTTAGTGTGGACACCTGTTCCTTCAACACGTCTTTCTCCTCCCTCGCGAGTTTGTGCAATTGATTACTCTTAATCCTCTCTGTCATGAGCTTGAAATTTGCATCATCCTTTTCGCGCAGTTGCTGTATCAGTCTAGAGTTCTGCTCTTGCATGTCCTCAAACGCTTGTCCGGTCACTTCCATCTCGTTCAGGAGAGCCTCCTCCTCCTGCAGCCAAATACAATTCTGTTCAACGTTACATTTCCGTTCGCATATGCTATCAGATATTGTCGTCTACCTCCTAATACTAAGAAGCTGGTAACATTATATGAATGATTGATTAATATAATTCTCGACTTATATCACTTACAATTGATTTCATCCCTAATTAATTAATAATCTTTTAATGCACAGTGCATCAAGAGTCTCAGAAAGAATAAATGTGATCTACCTGTTTCTGACAAGCGACCTGACGTTGCAGTGTATACGCCTGTTCTTCCAGCTTCTTAATCTTTATCTGCGCATCTTCATCAGCTAGTTTTTTGCGTTCCTCACGTTTACTTTCCTGCAAAAACATAATTCACATTATTATTACTAAATAATTTTATTACAAATAATAAAAATTCCGAACAAGTGTAATGAACACCTCCATGTGCAGACCCATTTCTTTTCATACTACTATTACTATTACTAAGTCATTAGGAATTACTAAGTGCTGTTCATGCAATATTGCGGTTTGAGATTGAGATTAGTAAATTTTGATTGGTCAAATTTCAATCTAATCACAATCTCAGTCCGTAGTCTGATACGGACTTTAGGCTGATCAAGCTGCCGCTACAAATGCTTCAAAGTATTTTTCTTTTTCTTTTTTCAATAAAGATAGAAGGAAAACGCTTCGAAGCATTTGTAGTAGCAGCTTGAACACAGCCTTAAAACAAAATATTTCAATCCGCACTTAAACTCATTATTTTCCTCAACCAAACCGCAATAGCTGATCCAATATATACATATGCTTCACTTGTTTCTATCATTTATCATGTTATCAATTTTATATATATGTATATATCATAAATTTATCACGTAGTAATTGTAAAATGTATTACAACATACTTGAATTTTTTTTACTTGCTGTCGCAAGTCTTCTAATTCTGCTCTAGTTTTACGCTCTGCAGCCATTAATTGTACTTTGTCCCGTTGCTCCTTTCCAACACCTTTGTACATATCTAATAAAAGCTTCATTTCTTTCATCTCATTCACAGCTTTTCTGTAATCAGATATTTATACTCTCATTTATTTTCTAAAACTAAATATCGTCACGATAACAATGTCGATATTTTATTTGAAAACACTGGATGTTTTCACGAACATACTTGAGTTGCGCCTTCAAGTCTCTCACGAGTTCTGATTCCGCCATCTTTGCATCTTTAGTGCGATGTGCAGGATCCCGATGTTCAGTTTTCACAGATTCTTTCTTGATATCCTTCTCACGTTTTATATCTTTCTCCTTTTTTAGAGTCGGCGAAGTTAACGTTAGGGAATCTGGCGTGTTTTTGTTGCCTTCACCTTCTCCAACCTCAATAGTTTCCACCTCTTCATCAGCACCAGATTCCCTTTTTATTGTAACACCGCTTTCTTCTTTTATCTACGTACCAAAACCAACAATTAATACAAAAACAATAAGTAGCAAACAAATCTCATAACTGAACATCTCATATATTAAATATGTAAGATTTCTACAAGAAAAGAAATTTTTCTTTTAAATAATTAAATATATACAAAATGCATAAAAAATATAATAGCGTAGAAAAAAATGTCATATTTTGATTTAAATTTATTTATAACGTTATACCTGTGTAGAACCTGGTAACGAATTTGAAGCATCTTCTTCTTTTCCGCTGCCATCTGAATTATTCCCTTCTTTATTTTCTTGCGACGTTTGTTGGCCTAATTTAGTTGTCAATTCCTCTACTTCCTTTTTTAGCTAGAAAAATTTCATAAAATAAGATTATTTTACCTATTTTTATCGCCATTAAACAATACATTGGTGGTAATTTATATATATACTGTATGTATATATTAAAAATTTGTTATTATTGGAATAACATGTAGTTCTGTGTAAGAGCAGTTGACTTGTAATCTATAGAGTTCACTCCTGACCTATGCCCCATATATGAATTTGTTTATAAAAGATTTATTAAATAATTAAAGTTTCAACTACAGATGGATCCATTAATTGCAAAGTTTGAAAGTTCTGATAAAGGAATATGAAATGAAGTGTAACCAGTTATGTATGTAACAATAAACTGATACACACGTATTATTTACACCAAAGTTGATGTAGTGGTGCACAATAAATTATTAAATTTCATAATAAAATAAAAACTAAGAAGATTAAAATTTACAATTTACATTACATACCCGGGGTATTTCAGTAGAAGTTTCTTTGTATTTTCGCTTGTACCGGTGCACCTCGCCCTTTAATTGCTGATTGTGATTCTGAAGAGAGGTAATCAGATGCCGCATTTCTCGATTGATTGGACCTGTCTGTTCATTGGCAGCTAGATTCTGTTCAAATTCAATGCGAAGCATTTCGTATTCCTTGCGTAATTGTGCTAAAACGTCTTCGAGTTGTATACACTCTCCGCGCAACTTTTTTTGAGCCATCAACTCTTCGCTCTATGAAAAAAACATCATAAACTAATGAAGATGAAACAATTTCTCGCGAGTGTAGTCTCTCTGGATATACAAAGATCTTACCTCCATCATCTCGATGTGACGCAAATGTGCATTCTTGCTAGACTGCAATTGTTGACGAGCATCATCCAATTGTGTTTTTAATTGCATAGACTCGTTATATAGCACGGAAAATTGCGATTGCAAACATTTGTACTCTGTCGTTTCTACGATTACCGACTCGGGGAGCTGTCTTATCTGCAACAAGAAATACCCAAGTTCAGCCACTAAGAGATTAAATTAAATTGAAATATATTATCCCAATATTTATAGAATGCAAGTAAAAGTTAGGAAATTAACTATTTACTCACATCCATCTTCAATTTTTCCACTTCTTTTAAGGTGTCGCGGTGTTGCTGATGCAGTTTGTCTAATTCCTGCAGTCTGTTGTTAGCCAATTCACGTGTCTCTTCAAGTTCTCTTTGTAAATCATCAAGCTGTAAAGAATAATATCGTAATATTATACTAATTTATACTTGTGGTTTTATACACGAAAAAAAAAATTTTACCTTAGTTTGAGAAACACTGGATGCAACTATAGTGTTCGGTTTATTACTGCCTTTCTCATCTGCACCATGAATCTGTTGGAAAGCTTTTAACTTCTCAATTGCCTCCCCAAGATGATGTTCCAATTTATCGTTTCTCGCTCGTACTTTGTTTAATTCGTACTGCAGATCGTCTACTTGATTTCGCATTTCCGCTGCAAGCGTATCCTTTCCTGTTATTGTATCTTGCAATTCTGACATCTATGAAGATATAACCAGAATAAATATTGAATTTCTGATCGTCAGGCAAGATCTTATGCCTAATAATTTTCCTATAATTAACTTACTAGACAAATGCAACAAAAGATATATTATCATTATTTCGGCTAATTCGTGATTTGTAACAAACCATAGCTGTGCTAGTTATACACAATCGATAATAAAAAAATTAAATATGAATGAAATAGAAATCAATTACCTTTAATGAGATAGTGTGATACTTTTCATGCAATTGTATATTTATCGCCTGCAGATTTCTGTTTTCCATTTGTATTTCCCCATTGGCACGACGTACGACTTCGTCAATGTTCGGCGCCTCGTCTGTGTATTAATTCATAATTGCATTCATTTTATCCTAGATGTACGACTTTTCACAATATATTTATGTAATATGTAAAGAAATTCTGAATATGACTTACCACCGTCAAATTCTCCTTTCAGTGCGAGAGTAATCTTCTCGTTTCTTTGAGATAAACGATCGAACGCCTGTACAACTTTAGACACAGCTCGTTTCGACACCTGTACACGGTTTGCTAATTTATCATCTAATTCTTCTTTGTCCCAGGAAGATAATTGCATAAGAAATGACGTCGTAGCCTCGCTCTCGTCTGTAATTAAGAGAAAAACGTTTGGTTGTAAGAATTTGTCGCAGAAAAGTTGTCGTTACATTGTATGTTTCTTTTCATAGCGCACTTCTGTTTTCCGATTCATCAGCAGTTTCGGCATCGAATCTCTGCAATAGTACACGTATATCTTCATTGAGTTGATTCCAATATCGATTAACTACGTTAAGTACTGTATCATCTTGCATTTGGCGTTTCTCTAATTGTTCGATACGTTGTCTCAATTCAGCTTCCATTCTATGCCTTTGTTCCAATCTCTGGAACAAATAAATTATATTTAAAAAAAGATATATAAAAAATCAAAATTACACAATATTGTAAATTATATTATATTGCATATATATTAAAAATGTTTTAATTAATAATGCACCTGTGCCAACTTCTTGTTCTGGAACTGTAAAACCTTCATGTCCATCTCTTCAAGAGTAGATATGGGTCCAATTAGAATCGGCTCAAATTGCACCTTTTTTATAGGTGGTTGGGAACTAGAGTCCCCGCTGTCTCCAGGTCGTTTCGACATCTTTGCAGTGTGCTAAATCTGTCAAGCGAATAGTAACGAATGCAATGAGTAATTAATTTGAGACACAGAGGAAAGATGTTTGCTTTTGACGTGTAGAATTCATGCCGCTTAACTTTAATTTTAGTTCAACTCATCTTTCGTCTCTTTCTGTCCTCTTAAGAAACAAAAATGAGTTAAACTAAGAGTAACGTTGAGCGATGCTAGAAGAATCTTATGCCCGTTTCTACCAATACAGATTAACTATAATCTCGGCTTCTTATCCCTTTCTCATTTGTAAAACCAGAAAAAGATATAAAGTAAATTGAACCGAGATTACTATATAGTTAAACTGCGATGGTAGAAACAAGCATTAATGTCCTCTAATGTTGCACAGAATATTACGTACTTTAAGAATTCAAGTAAACTTTAGCAATTTTGCATGAAGCTAGTTGCAACTAGGCACGGCGCAATTGTATTAAGATTGATCAAAGAAAAGAATAATCATTTTCATTATGCGTCGTCTGGAATGCGTGGAGTAAGCCTGGCGTAAGGAGTAATGCGGCGTCTACAATGAGACTTTATAAGATTTAAGAAACTAATCAATAATAGACGAATGTGAGGAGAATACTAGGCTGTAATTCAATTTTCTAAATCTCACGTCTTCAAATCTCATTGCAGAGACTGCGTAATACAAGCATAATTTTTTAAATATGTCAACACTGGCCGATGGCGTTCTGATTCGCCGAGAGTGAGCGTAAGAGCTAAAGCAGGAGGAAGAAATAGAATTGATTTATTTCCTACTCCTACTCCTTGCTCCAGGCTTAGTCCCAGTCTACAATAGATGATTAAGGCCCGGTTTTACCAACGTTGCTTGACTTTAAGCTTAGCTTAATTCGTTCTTTGTCTCTCTCCAATTGTTACTTTAGAGAGAGACAAACGTGAATTAAACTAATTGTAAGATCAAAGTGAAACAACGTTTGGTAAAACCAGACCTAAGCCTTAAGAAATTGACCAATTACGGTCAAGTATGAAGTAGAATATGCAACTGTGATTAGTCAATTTCTTAAGGCTCAAAGTTTAAATCTCTATTGTAGACGACGTATTACTCCTTTCATACCCGTAAATTATCTCGATATAAATACGATACAACAGATCTCGACTTCGGCTTCACCAACGTCGCTTAACTTTAAGCCTAGCTTAATTCGTATGTCGTCTATTACCAACTGTTCCCCCTAGAAAGAGACAAACAATTAATTAAATTAAGATTAAAGTTTACAAACTAAATTGAACTAACATGATCCATGAGGTTATGATTCGTATCGGAGAGAAAGTAACCACGTAAACACTGCATGTGAATCATCGGTGTTGAAAACGTTACTGATCAACATGTGGTAGACACGAGTCGAGAGGCGTGCGTATAAAAACGAGAAATCCTCACGGACAGCGAGGACACGAGTATCTCACAATACGTTATTAAAGTCGACGATCCCTAAGATGTCGTCCGGTTTCTTCGGCTCTTTTTTTTTTTATGCCGATGGAAACAGGCCAAAGCGAGCAAACCAGAGGCATAATCGGCACGGGATCGCACTAGACTGAGCATGGGGGGGCTTCGTGGACGTTGATAAGATTTTCGAATCGACCACTAGACTCTCTGGAGAACCAGAGTAATGCCATTCCAATAATGCCGTTGTTATTGATTTGGCGCGCGCTCGCGCGCGCGCGGGCGCGGGTTTACCTCGGAGCAAGCGATGAAAACTGCCTCCGCTGTCGCCGCTACGTCCACCTTCGACGGTGATGCGTTCCTCGCTTCCTCGGCCTCGTTGCTACGTCATTGATCATTCTCCAATGCGTTGTGCCTCGCGTGCCAAATCGGTCGTCGCGGAACCCCGCATCTTGCTCATGAGAGTCGTGCGTCGTGCGCGGAGCGGAAAGACACGCCAGTTGCGCCTGCGTTGTTCCTTCCAATGAGAGAGTATCGTTGCGCGACGACTCGGGAAAGTAAACGGTCGAAAGGGAAGCCGGGCGCGGTCGATACGGTCGTTCGCCCGGCAAGGAAACTGACGTGCCGACTTTTGATACCAACTCGGCCGGTACTCGTCACGACTGAGTCGATAAGGAAGATCGCACCAGGTCCATAAAGTTGACCCCCCTCCTACAACAATTTATAAAACTATTAATATATTCGGAATGTACATCGTTTGTACATGAATGTATAATAATTTTTATTATTT